AAGAAAGAAAGAAAGAAAGAAAGAAAGAAAGAAAGAAAGAAAGAAAGGAAGAAAGAAAAAAGAAAGAAAGAAAGAAAGAAAGAAAGAAAGAAAGAAAGAAAGAAAGAAAGAAAGAAAGAAAGAAAGAAAGAAAGAAAGAAAGAAAGAAAGAAAGGAGGAGGGAGGGAAGAAGGAAGGAAGAATGAGAGAGAGAAAGAAAAAGAAAGAAACAAAAAAGAAAGAAAAGAGGGAGGGAGGAAAAAATAAATAGGGATGAAGGAAGAAAAGAAGGAAAGAAGAAAGAGAGAGAGAGAGAGAAAAGGGAGAAACGATAAATAAATAAATAAATAAATAAGAAGGGAGGAAAGAAGGAAGGAAGGAAGGAAGGAAGGAGGGAGGGAAAAGGAAGGAAGGAAAGAAAAATGACAGAAAGAAAGAAAAAGAAAGAAAGAGGGGGAGGATAAATAAATAAATAAATAAATAGGGGTGAAGGAAGGAAGGCGGGAAGGAAGGGAGTAAGAGAAAGAAAAAGAAAGAAAAGAGAAAGGATAAATAAATAAATAAATAAATAGGGAGAAAGGGAGGGAGGGAGGAAGAAAGAATTAATTAATTAATTTGCTTTATGGCAAATTTCTGGGGGGGAAATGGAATAAATTGGGGAATTTGTTCCCCCTGGATCTATATAGCCCCTTGCTGGATCTGGTCCATTTTCAATCTTGATCTCTCTTTTCCTGTTTTTTTCTTCTTCTTCTTCTTCTACACACTAAATAAAGTCCTGTTGTGTTCAGTTGGGATGGGGGTGAGGGGGAGAAGCCATCGAGTTGACCTTTAGAGTTTGACGCCCCCTCCCCACTTGCAAAATTTCCTTCCACTATTCTGCTGGGTTGGGAAGGATTCAAAGAAAATTGTGAATAGCAGACAGGAATTCTCCAGAGGAGAAATTACTCATGATTTCAGCTCTGCAAGCGCGTGTGTAGTCACACACACAAGTCTGCAGAATTTGCAAGGCAAAAACCAGCCCACCTGCCACGTATTTTGGCACTTCCCAGCTGTTCAACCCACTCTTGGGGAATTTATTCTACCCAACTGAGACTTCTGAATAGGAGTGTGGATGAAACCAGGATGGTGGGCCAAAATTAGGATTTGAAGCGCCAGGGAGAAGGTGGCAAAACTAACAGCTGCAATCCCGACTTCCAAAGCCAGAAATAGTTTTCCTGTCCCTCCCAAACCAAATAATTAACTCTTTTCGAAGTCAGGGTATAAAATGAGCTTGCGGAACTCCTTGCCACAGGATGCAGGGATAGCCAAACCGTGTGCATTTCTTTAGGTATCAAATCCAACTACATTTATTAAATTTCTGTACCGCCCATCTCACCGAAGTGACACTGGGAGGTTTGCAACCTCGTAACAAAAGCATATCATAAAAGCATAAATGGAAAAAAAACACAATTAAAAATGACTAAAAACTCACAAGGAAAAAATAAAAATCAAGTTAACCATGATTGTTGGTTAGCGTAGTTTACTGCCTGAAAATGCTTACGCTTAACCAAACACCATGTCTGTGTCCATATAACATACTAGCCCCATACCCGTGCTTCGCTACGAAACTATGTGGTCGGGCTTAGTTTTTCAGGAAGAAAATAAATTCTGCCTCTGCCTACCAGCATCTATCGGTATTCATCTGGCTAGCATCCTGTCAGTGTGAGAGAGTTGAGGGCTGTTTGGAAAATGAAACAGTATTTGCTGTGTGAACAAGAAGGAGACAGCAAGGAGCCTGGGCATGGCTTAGCTCAACTGTTCTGTACTAAAGCTGCTTGGTGTTGTGAAACTGAACCTGAACCTCCTCTCCTCTGCTTGTGTTTTGCATTTGGACCAGATTTCTTTTCAGGTGGGGAGGGGGAGTAGAAGTCCTTAGCATCAGAGCGTGTTAATAATAATAATATAGGAAATACTAATGCTCTGATGGTCATTTTGAAAAATCCTGTCTTAGTGAGCACCTACCGTGTTTCT